GTTACCCACCAGAGTTGCGTCCATCCGCCCCTCCCGCTCCAGAGGCACGAAGCGCGGGTCGCCCTGAATCACCTTCGCTGCCCAGCCCCACCAGCGATCCCATGCCCAACCCCACGGCAGCTCCCGAGCCCAGCCTTCGAGGCGAATACCGGGGGCCCGGCGACACATCAAACGGGGCCGAAAAAGTGGGCGAGGCGACGTACTACAACGTGGGCGGCGCCGGCAACGACAAGGGCGGCTACACGGCCTGCGGCGAGACGTTCTCCAACCAGGAGATGGTGGCCGCCATCAGCTGGCGCGTGTTCGACCGCTCCACCGGCAACCCCAACACCTCGCCGTCGTGCAAGATGTGCGCGAGCGTGACGGGGCCGGCGGGGACGGCCACCGTGAGGATCAAGGACAAGTGCGGCGGGTGCGCGACGGGAGACATAGACCTGTCGCCCGTGGCTTTTCAGAAGGTGGTCGGCGACCTGGGCATTGGCAGGCAGCCGGGGGTCAGGTGGAATTACGTGCCCTGCTAAGGAGCGGTTGTGGCCTCGAAACGCGGCAGTGGCTGGGACAGGTTTGGCTGATTTGGACTCCTGTGATTGGATACTGAGCCAATGCCGCAGGACGCGCTGGGACTATTGGGGAAGGATGGCCGAGATGTTGCCGAAATGAGAAACCTGTTTGACGGCAAGCCCTGTTTCCCGGAGCAGGCTGTACACCAGTCAAACCAAGCTGAATAACATGCGTGTTGAACAACAGTTGAGCAATATCAGTTGGCTGATGAGCAGTGCTTGCCGGAAAGATTCGGCACCTTCAACCTCCGTGGGTTTGCAAATTGTCCTGCCTGGAAATAAAATTGGAGTCGGTTCTGCTGGTACGTGCTAGAAGGATATATACACTTATATAAGTGGCGCCAAGAGCCTGAACCATGTTTTGGGAACGTCTGCTTTGGGCCCAGAGTGCAAGGTCTGATGTACCACTCAGCTGAACTCACTGTCTTTTCTGAGCTGACTGGAGCATGCAACAAAAGGAATACCAATCCTTGTGACCACGCACTGGCTGGGGACGGGATTTGTACAGAGGCATCGCTTCCTAAATTGCAATGTCGCAACCCCTCGGCACTTTGGGCTTACAGGTACATGGAAAGTGGGCTCCCCGAGATGAATGCGGACAGTCCTGTTGCAGACTGTGCAGGCAGTGAACGGCGATGTGCATCCATGATGCGGTGTCCTCTTGATTGTTGGCAGTCAGCGTGCAAATGTTTTAGTTCAACGCGTTGGTCCGTGTATGATGGCTGCACCAGAGAGCCTGGACACGATACCGTGGCAGATACAGGGAATTGCGTCAGGCGGCATTATCCCATCACGATTAGGGCGGATGTCTTGCGAAGTTCACAAATTTGTGATTTCTGATTTCTGATTTGAGCTTAAACTTCATCAGTACACGTTGGGCTCTGTGGCGCTTGTCCATATATGGACAAGCTATATAGCCACCCTTAGTGTGTGCAGACTCCGGTGGGGATATTTGCACAGGAGTGTCCGCGGCAAAGTGCACCGTTCAAGCTGCTGAGTGTACGATACTTTCACGATATGCACCCTTCCCTGCCCCTCCCTGATCAGAGGAGCATACAAGGTAAGTTGCCCATCCACACCCCGAGGGAGTCGCCCACGTCCTCTGGTGCGGGACAGAAGGCCCCGGCGAGCAAGATAATGATCCTGACTTCACAAGTAGAAGCCCTTGGCCGCGTTGCCCTTGCCACGAAATTGCCAAGCGTAGGGTACTTGTCAACACCAGTGATGAGGCATTATGCGGTAAACACTCCCCCTACATTGGCTATTCACTGTGACTGCAGAAAGGATAGCGCACGGGTTCCCAGAATTTCGCATGTTGTGTGTCGGTAACGCAACTGCAGCGATGCAAAAAGTATGGACAAGGTGCAGAGGCTGAGAGCAAGTAGTGCACTGCCCACGTGGGCAGCCTCAACCCCTTGACGAGTGATTGACATTTCTTCCAATGCAGCAGCACACTTGGCCTTTTTTGTCGACAGATTCTGTGCTCAAGCTGGGCTGTACACAGTGCACAGTTGCGGGTCAGGCGCAAGCCATATGACGAGGATGGCACATGTCTTTCTCGCTCGCCACCGTGCGTTAACACCCTCGTTGGACAACTGATACACAAGATTCGCTCCTGTACATTGGAGTGTCTGATTCATGATTCAAACCAGCACTGCGTCAATTGTGCGCCTGGGCTCACGCTCTCTGGGGACTGTCGGCGCCCCACAAGGCCCGTACAACAGGGTCGGCAACCCAGACACGGAGGGTTGAAGATCAGTTGGATATGGCGTCTGTTGCATGCTCCTCACAGGTGTCAACTTCGCGGATGGCTCCTTTTCACCTCTTCGTACGCTGAATCACATTGCCTCCACTGAAGGATTTGCTTGCGCTGGGTCTCAGCCCTCTAGTCGACCGACACGCGCCGAACAACATTGCCAACGTGGGAGGGCTGTTTGTCATGCGTCACAGAGACCGTGATGATGGAATGGCGCTTCGTAAGGCTGCGTGTCTTGGACGCAAAACGCTCTCCCCCAGTGCGTTGAACCGCGCCTGATCCCACGGGATACGCCCGCTTTTCGTGTCATCGTTGCTTGATTGACGTGCGGGTGCTACAAGGGGGGGCACAACGATGTCAAACCGACACACCCCCGTGCAGCCCACTGGGTGAGGTACAAGGGGTCGGCATTTGGCCGGACCACCGATCTGCCCAGTTCGGGGCTCCAGTGTTGCACGCCTTGGAGGAGGCTCGGGGGAGGTCGGCCCAGGCCTGTGGCCAGGCCAAGGGCGGCGGAAGGGCTGCGACAGCGGCTGAGGGTGTTCCTGCAAAGAGGACTTGCGCGACTCCAGGTGCGCCTGCCCCTCGGACGACCTCACAGCTCACTTCCCTTTCCTTTCCTCTCTGCCGACGTCCAATCCATCGTGTCGTGTGCGGCCAGAGGGCCTTTGTGCATTTTCACGGGCGTCCGTCCGTTGTTTGTCGTCCCGGGTTGCGTCCACAGCTGGCTGCGGCCTATGCGTCGTATGGCCGCAACGGGGAGGGGTGGACGACTGGCCGCGTCGCGGACTCGTTCTTGTCGAACCGCTCCAGGAAGCGGCGGTCGGGGCAAGTTGGACTGTCGGCGGGCCAGGAAAAACGTGTAGTTCGTCGAGCCGCGGTAATGGTGCGCCTGCATCAGCGGGCAGCCCGCAGGATCGGATTTCTCTTGCAGCTCTTGGTTCAACAAACATCGGCGGTGTTCGGCGTTATGCACTTCCGCATGCGGCGCACAGGCCATGCCCCAAGGCGTCCGATGGGCTGTTGCCTGTTGATTGGCTCGTCTTGCGTGGTTTATACTGCCTTTATGTACTTGATGGCCATTTCCGATTCGCGGATACGTCTGTTTGTTTCTTGTACGATCTTGCCGTTCTTGGTGTCCATCAGCGTCACCGTTCAAATCTCGCACATTACCTCCGATTGAGTGTACCCTAAGCTTTCGCAGCCTACACCAACTAATGTGTCTCAGTGCTTTGCAACGTTTTAGTCCAAAACTTTGAAATCTCACTGTGAGGGAGGGGCTGGACAGAGCAGAAGTGGATCAGTGGAAGTCGTTGGGCTCTCCTTCAATAGGAGGATTGCCTGCTGACCTTGTGCAAGCCCATCAAAGCCATCTAATTGGAACCAGGCCTCTGGCTCTACAGTGAAAGTGCGCCTACAGTGCAACATGAATGGAAAGATCCCTTGGCGCATGGTCACACTCAGTCTAAGCACGACCGACAGGTCCAAGACAGCCCAGAGACTAACTGCCTGAAACACAGGTGGCAGCCGTCACCACAGTGGATGCCCAGCAAATTCGCCTGTGCCCACCCACGTTTTCCCATCAGAAAGCCATGACCTGGGTGACAATCCCATGCGATTGGATCTATTGCTGTGGAATTGGAAATTTTGTGAATGAAATTTTGTGGATTGGATTTGTATAGCGTGACATTTCAAACAAACCCCAGGCGCCGTGCAGACCATGATGGGCACAATTGATTCGAATTGCAAAAAACAACTTCATAGTCCCCACCACTTAAATGCACACACCACCCAACTACTCAAATTGAAAGAGTGGCAGATTGTTACAGAAACAGAAATAAAAGTCGACGGGTCCACGATGAACACTTGTTGGGAGCCACGTGCAGCACACTACTGTGCCAATACACTGGTCACAGTTGCTAAAGTTCTTTGTCTAAATTCTTTCAACAGCAAAGCTGTGCCCTTGCACCTTGTAAGCGTTGGTGTGCATGTAGACATCCAAGAACGTATTTGTAGCCAATTTGCGGCTGACTATTGCATTGGCACTCATTCTGCCTGTGCTGCCAATGTGAGATGGCTCTCCAACGAAGAAGTGTGCAATCTTCTGCCCTGGTGTGGTTTGGCTTCGGCTTGCTCTTGCCCATCGAGAGTTGTCGTTGCAGTTTAGGTGGTATGGGAGGGTTAGCAGGCGCCATTTTAAACGAAATGTCGTGTGCAAAGGCACCAAAGAAGGCTTCCTGCGTTGTGGGACTGTGACAAAGGGATCTCCCAAACATGCTATGCTCACCAGTGTTGATAGTTCATCACCTATGAACTCACAGTTATCAACTCTTGTGCATACACATATGTGCACAATACTGTGTTGCTGTAGCACATGTTTTTTTGTATCAACTCTGTGCCTGCTGGTGTGTCGAGTACCCAACAGAGATATTTTGATGCTCTCCTGGCCACTGGCCCCAGTTGGAAATGAACCATGTGCCCCCGCGTGACATATGCCTCCATGTGCCTCCACATTGACGTGTAACATTCGTACATTCATGGTGTGCTATCCAATGGAAATGGTGCTCGTTCCATCTAATCACGAAACATTGCACATGAAGGCAAGCAGGCAAGCGGTCAGCTCTCCATTGCGCCCAAGGAACACCACAGCCAACGACTTGTGCGAAGAAAGCCTGTCTCGATTCATGCGAATCGGCGTTGGGCCCCGACCTTTTTGTCCGTTCGACCTGTCCGTGTACTTCTGCCTGAGCACTCGCCTGTGTGGACGCTCCAGTTGAAGATGGAAGGCTGGCGCCTCTCGCTGGCGCTCGCGACGGTGGTCGCGGCCTGCCTGGCGAGCGCCCGCGCCCAGGACACCTGCCAGGCGACGTACACCGTGACTCCCGGCGACACCAGCCTGTACGACATCGGCGCCAAGCTGGGCGTGGACTACAACCTCATCCACAAGGCCAACGTCATCCAGATCGCCGACCCGAACAAGGTCTACCAGGGGCAGGTCTTCAACATCCCGCCCTGCACCGGACCCCTGCGCGACCCCGTGTACCCCGAGTTCCCCTGGCTGGTGCCGCAGTCGCCGAGCCCTTACTACATCGCCCAGCCTCCGCATTCCGGCGGCACCCCCGTGCCTACCCCCACCACACCGGCGCCACTCCCCCCTCCGCCCGCGCCAACGGGCGGTGGCAGCACCGGCAACTGCGAGTTCAACCCCAACCTGCCATTCAAGCCTCCGCAGGTTCTCGACGGCAACGGCGAGCCCACGTACATCGGGCCCGAGGACACTTCCCTGGGCTACACCTGCGAGACCGCGCCCTACGTGGGCGACGCGACGTACTACCACCAGAACGGCGGCTACACGGCGTGCGGCAACAACGACCTGAACGACCAGGACATGATCGCCGCCATCAGCTGGCAGATCTACGACCGGACGGACGACGGCGGGAACCCCAATGCCTCCAAGTCGTGCCAGAGGTGCGCCAAGGTGTACGGGCCGTTGGACCCGATCATCGTGCGGATCAAGGACAAGTGCGGCGGCTGCAAGCCTGGGGACATCGACCTTTCGCCGCGGGCGTTCAACATCCTGATGGGCGGCCCGGAGGTGGGCAGGCAGCCGGGGGTCAAGTGGCACTACGTCGATTGCGCCGAGGGCGGATTCTGAGCGTCCAACGCTCAGAAGAAAGAGTTTGGGAATGCGGAACTGGCGCATTGGCCAAGAGTGGCTGCCGGTCGGTCGCGTCGGCCGGCCGCTGGCCGCCAGGGCTCGTCGGCGTGTGGAATAAAAGGCGGTCAGCTGCAAGGAAGGGCTAGGCGGATGGGGTGGTGCTGGTGCTGGTAAGCTACGGTTGGGGAAGGAAATTGCTGAAGAGGTTCGTCTCGAGGTGACGTAACGAGGCGCAGGCTGGATGGCAAACGAATAAACACGCGGGATTGAGGATTCACTCGTTGTTGAGAATCGGTTCCCCTTTCTGCGCCGATGGGATAAATATCTATGCACTCAAACTACGGTTTGCGAACTGGACTTTGGGAGCCGAGGAATACGGTCTGAGCTAGCCTGAGTATGCAGCTTCGGGATGGCCAGACGTCGGTTGTAGGGCCCCAAGTGTCACAGCAATGGAGGCGGCATACGTTGGACGCAGGTGTCGCTGTATGTAATTATGTGTTGTGAAGCGGAGGGCAGTCCATGAAACTGATGATGTGCAAGGTCTCGGATGAGCAGCGCCATGGCACATTGCTGATGATGTGCGAATTGCATTTCAGGTTTTGTATGCAAAGGTGCATTGGAAGGTGTCACGCCGTTCAACGTGGTTAGCCTGTGTGACGAATCAATTCCGGGATCCGATAAGACAACTGCAATGGCACACGTACGTGTACGCGTGCGCTTCCTTGCCGTCTTGGCCCTTGGCATAATTTTGGTTTTCTCTCGTCAATCACTCGCCCACATTTCATTGGCAATGCGACATAACACTTGCCAAACGGGGAAGACGAGTTGTCTCGGTTGCGTCAGTGAAAGAAGCTGCATCGACCTGCTCTGCAATTCTCAACACTACAGCAGTTTGACCCCGTGAACTGTTCAACACGGACAAAACAGGGATGACGGAATGAAGCATAAAGGAAGCACTGCAGTGCGGCACAGTTCCGTGTCCAAAGGTTTACACGTCATTCATCCCTTTTCGCCCACCCCAAGAACCCGCAAGAGCAAACAACAAAAATCTCTACAAAGAGGCATGTCCATAGCGGCCGCCACTCGTTAGCCCGCACCAACTGGGACTGCTGCATTGGGACTTCACCTAACCATCACCAACCTCAGGTCAGCTCCTGCCCTACCCAACTGAGAGCACTCCAAAGTCAGCGCTAAGTCTCATCGAGACACGCTGCACGCCTTTCAACACCTGTCAGGCAGTGTTGCCTCAGGCAGTGGTGCTTGAACAGCACAAACAGCATCTCAATATTTGCATTTCGGCCCGAGCACCGTGTGGAGCGTGACTGGCGGCCTTGGCTCAGTCCTCGTCCTTGAAAGGGTACTCCTCAGAGTTGTGGGATACGAGCTTGAGGCGGATCTCGTAATGGTCGTCGCCCTGGAGGACGTCCTTGCGGAACGTGCACTCGACTTGCATGTTGACCTGGTCATAACATATGCGGCCATCACAATACATGTTTCTTTTTATTTGGAACGACAGCTTTCGACTGTGGCAAACTTGGCCTTCGCTCAGTCTCCAACACTCATGGTCAAGTGCAGAAAAAGGTGATAGATTCCAAGCACGACACATGCAGCTGACAGGCGCATCTTCTCCTCACCATTTCGAGGGCCCCTCGGATGACGCCACACAACATGCTTGAGTACTTTAGCCCTTTGTACTCGGCCGGGAGCTCCACAAAGTCAGCTAGCGGGTTGTCAAGAAATATCTGCGCGACAAGGGACATTCCTGAACAGTCTTGAAAATGAAAGCAACCACGTATGGGTACTTCGATGAGTTCCTCAGATGAAGATGATAATGCAGAACGGTTTGGGCCTGCTGAACCACGCTTTCCAGCTAGCGAAGAATGTGAACAGCATTCCAAAGTGTATCCGAGCTTGCTGTTGTTGTGGTACAGAACATACTGTGGCCTTCGACATTCAAGCGCGATGCTTCAAGAAAGTGGACTGATGGAAACAGACTTCCTCAAGGTGGAGGCCAGATGTGAGGCACAGCCTGAAACGATGGGCAGGATCAGCAGACAGCCTCGAGACCAACTCACATATGCTCTGATAAAGCTTGCCTGTCATTGATAAAAATGACAATGGCTAGTTACAACAAACAAGGGGGAGTGATCGTGACGCCTCACAATCGGCCATGCTGCTCCCAATCAGGGGAAATCTTAGGAACTCTGCACCGTTGAAATTGCACAGAGGAGCCCAGCTACGAATCATTGGCTGTACAAGGAGACCTGTGGTGGGTGGGGTGGGGTGGGGGTGGCAACAAGAGAAAAAGCAATCATTCGCCCTCTACCCCCTGGCTCCACTCCTGTGTCAACTGTTGTTGGTTCTTGCCATCCGCCCTGTGCAAGGTTGTGAATCAAGACATCGACAGGCAAGCTGATGCCGCGAAAGGAATTGGGGTTGGAGGAGAGGGGGGTTGGTCCAAAGTGCCAGTATGCAACACAAACGGTATGAGCACTTCACAGAAAGAAATGTTCAAGAGGATACCAATGCCAACTGCGTTGATTTGGCACACAGCGGCCCTCAAGCAACATATGCAACATGTGCTAGCGGAGGCCAGGAAGCATGATTGGGCAGCATCAGAGAGGACGGTGATGACAGCAGAGTAACCTCTGTACCGTTGTGTCAGTGGCTATGCTGTCTTCCCTGTAATTGGGCCTTGGAGAAACTTGGACTTGTTCAATATGTTGGCTTTTCTGGCTGATGTTGAGAACTGCGACATCCTGTAGGGTAGGAGTGGTGTAGAAGATGGCCTGAGAATGTGTTGACCAGGAAGGGGGCAAGTAATGGCATTTGAAGAGTGTAGATGTGTTGGGGCCTGGATGCTGATTGTGGTAGTGCGAAGCAATCCATGTTTTCATCAAACCCATTTCAAGGAGGAGTTGGGTTCCAGGGAACTGTCTGTGGTGGAATCGGTGGCAACATGTGGGTGCGTGTGGGTAGCAATGGGGGGCACCACCAACTGGTGGTCGCCTCAATTTCCCTTGTCTTCTTCACACAGTTTTGTTTTGGTGCCTGCTTGTAGGCTGACTGTGGGTACATTGGGTGGGGGCATAAGATGATAGAGTAGTACATTATACGTGCATCCCTGGCGCATGCTGCAAGGGCTGGTGAACCCAATATTTGCAACTGGCATATTCTGGTTGCAACAGTGCTGGGTTCTTGCACTGCGATGCACTGCATGGGTTCTTGCACTGGGATGCACTTGGTGATCGCATGCTCAGCCCAGTTATCAGTAGACTGTCCAGGTGGACCACATTGACGACTGCATGATCTGGCTGGTGTGCCACAAGAGCCTTGCTGCATAAGGGCTGTGATCTGCTGGTCCCACCTTGAATTTGTGAGAAAATGATCTGAAATGACACCAGAAGGAACCATGTTGAATGGCGATAGCCATTGTGTTGGAGACATGGCTCCAGAAGCACAGGGAAGCGTGAGTGTCATTGATATTCTGCGTTACTCACTAATGGTACAGACACCTTACCCTATGCACAATAGGTGCCGTTAAGGTCGTGCACATCGTGCAGAGGCTTCCTGGCTACAGTTCCCAGTAAGCGACTTTCCAGGGAAGTTAAACCTTCTGCAGTGGCACCCTGCTCTTGGGTGTCCCACCATTTCCCTTCCCCACATAACGATTGGGTGCTCAATGCTATTTGATAGCTCCAACTCATGAAGAGAAGGCCACAATCAACAACAGCACCCCACACAATTTTCCCATTATCATCAGTGTGCAACGGGGCATGGCTGTACTAAGTGCCTATGCTACATGAATTACTCTTGGGCACTTGGTGTTTGCTGTGCCCTTTGTGTCATGCAATCAGCATGTGGTGTTCAATATCAGGTCCTTGCCCATTCAAGACTTGTTCTTTGTTCCAAGGCAATCACATTTCCGAGTGGGATGCAAGCCCCAAATGGTGATGCAAGAGGACAGTCATAGTTTCAGTAAGGCACACTAATCTTGAGTTGTTCTGGTCATTGCGGCTGAGCAGCACAAGCTCCATCAACAGGCAGTTCTCTGCACCTTGCTTGGAGGACAAAATTCAACACTTCGTTATTACTGGATCTAATGCTGGATCTTGATGCGATACTTCCATGCAAAGCTTACCAGGCTGCACTCCGTCCCGTCTGAATTCCAGTCCCTGATGTCCGCTGTGATGTTGAGGAACATCCAGAAACCCTGCTTGCCCACCACTTCAGCTGTTTCCCTGAAGCTACCACAACGGGTGATCCTTGATTTTGACAAGAACTCGTCTATCAGCCTCACTCCAATGTTGTGACCCCTGTGTTGAAAGCAGAAACCTCCATTGACCTCCCCAGGCTCCGTTTTGGCAAAGATGGTGTCCATGACTAGTGGACAAGACATGAAAACTACAGTGCAGCAGCAACTGAAAGTCAAAGCCAGCAAACAGCAACTGATGCCCAGCATGGCGAAGGCCAGATGAGTGCAATGTGGCCATCATCTGCCACATCATGTTCAACAATACAGCATGATATGGCAACTGACTGCATTGCTACAGTCCTGACGCAGCAGACATTTGCCTGAATGCATGCAATGCTGTTGTTGCTTCTACACATCGCTCTCTTCAGCTGAGCACTATAAACTCCTCTTCGTTGCATTTCCCAAAGCAATTTAAGAACAAACTCATACCACTCCAGTGAAGTTTGCCAATGATCACAACACAGCAGTGCAGCATCGAATCAGTGTTGTTTCGGTATGCCCCAGCTGTTGAACATTAGAAAGAAGGTGCATTGGTATCTCCACCAGAGCACCTGATGAGTTCATTCTCATTCCCAAGTTTATATACCTGTCGGGCTAAAGAGGGACACTCTGGTGGGTCCAGTGTCACTACGTTGTCCTTTGTTTGCTTTCCACATATCACATTTGGTGATTGTTAGTACAGCCAGGAAATGACTCAGCCTCACATTTTGTCAAGTTGTTTGTGCACGTCATCAATGTCATCGCAGTCTGCCAGCAGCTGTCGAACCAGCGATCCATATAAAAGTGTGAAAATCTCGGAGTTCTGCACACCAACAGTGGCTGGATGTCAAAATCAAACTAAACATGAAGTGCTTGATCCGTTGTACACATACATATTATGTCTGGTACTTGTTCCCATAAAATCAATTGATCAGGGCAACAGGCTAAGACATGCATGGGCAACAGCATGGGCACTGCAGACATTGTGGCTTGTCCAGGCACTGCCCAGACAGGACAGCAGTACATAAAATGTAACTCTGTTAAAATCACATTGTCTGAATCAGATTATTAGCAGGCTATCCCGCTGATAAAACATAAGTTCTATTTGACATCTGGCCAGCATCAAATGACAATAAATGTCTCTCTGCTCTCTCTTCATGACAGTGTGAATATGGCTATATTGAGCATCCTGTCAAATGCCATCACTGGCACTTCTGCCCACTCCAATGCACATATGTTGTCTGTGATCACACGTGATGTTGCATGAAGTGCTCTCTGACATGATGTTGTGAACAGTTGTGGTTGTTGTGATAGGCTCAGTGGCACGATATGACTGTTGTAACTAAGACAGCATGTTTATGGCAGCTGGCAGCATCCAATCAGTGAGAAGTATTAGGACATGAACTTCGCTGTGGTCATGCTGTGAAAAGCAGCTTTCCCTTGAACAGGCTGCGACAGCTGTCTGGCCGTGGTGTCCAGTATTAAAGGTGCACATCAGATAAGCAAAATGCATTGGACTGTGTTCTTTGACAGAGGATTGATGGAGGTATTCTTGGGAAATCATGCCAGTCCAATGCATGCAGCAACCATCCAGAGAAGCAGAGACTGCTACATATCCCAACACTCCTGTTGATCAAACAGTTTACAGTGCAAAGAATTGCTGCCATTGAAATCAATTGCCATGCAGATTGTGGGTTTCTTTATCGTGATCCCAAAGGTCCCAGCAGTGCCAGGTGCATATGCTTGAAAGCCCGCCATATGCTCCGAAATTCCAAGATGAGGGCATTGGAACACGGCCCAGTCTATGTAGGGATGGATGTGCAGAGATGGGAGGCCTGTCCTCCGTACAGACTGGTTTTCATGCACTGGACAGCTCAGGAACACCAAAACACTCCAAAGAATCCAGATACTCTCCTGAATCGCAGCTGGGAGCTGTCAACGCCCATTCTCATTGTTTCATCGATCCGATGTTAAGCAAAGTCAGGAGATGGCATCCCAACACCCCGGCGCACGCGGGTGCAAACATGCACATTCCCGATGTGCCATCAACATGAGTGTGAAATTCCAATAACAGCCAGCCAAAGTGTTTGTCCCTATGCACAATCCAAGACGGGGCCCAGTCACAAGAAATGCGATGTAGGGCGACATGAGTGTCAAGAAGAAGCCGTCAACCGTACTGGCTGTGCAACTTCTGGCTGCTGCATGAGATCGCGATCCATCCCAAGGTGCCCATTTTGGCTAGAGGACTGGACACGGCACTAATTCGACTCCTCCCTTTAGCACAACACATTCCCTCGCGCCCCGTCGGCCACCTACGATTTGCTCCAGCGGCGGCGCCGCCCTGCCGGAGGACCCCTTCGACATCGCCGCGCCGAGACTCGCACCACTCCGAGCTCCGACCTCCGTGCACCGCGGTTCGTTGGGTTCGCTTTGCTCGCCCAGGCCCAGGCTGCTTCTGCTTGCCACATCCACACCCAGTACTCTACATTCGAAGTACACAGAAAGTGTGCTAAACTACAGCAGCCCAGCCAGGCACCAGAAAGGGGGAGGTATGTAGAGGCACCGCGCTCAACCGCAGGCGCACAGGCTGTGGAGTCGCCCGCAGCGCGGCAAGCGCCGCGCTGTCCAATCCTCAGGACGACCAGGCTAGTGCAGCGACACAAGTGAAAATGATCCCGCCAGTAATGGATCCCCCTTCCCTCGGTGTCTCAGGGCGCTGTCAGATCGACCGTGCAAACGGATGCGCCCCCAGCCTCGCGCTCCGGGCCAAGGGCCCCGATTTGTGGAGGCCATCCCACAGGCGTCGGTCACAGAAGGCCACAGGTGCCACGGGTGGCGCTTCTGATCTGCTGTCGCCTCTTAGGGACCTGCCCGGGCGGCTGTTCCCTCGGCCGGAGTCGCTTGAGCTCGTTTTCAGGCGGCCGGAGACGCTGTTCCCTGGGAGCTCCCTGCGGGACTGGGTGCTGCAGAAGGAGGCGGTGTTGCAGGATTTTGAGTGGGAGGCGGTGATCTTGGTCTGCGTGGTCGCGCTGGTGCTGGCGGATGCCTCCACCAGGTGCGGTAATTAGGAGCACTGCGTTGCTCCACAGCCTAACGCCATCATTTGTTTCAATACGGGAAATTAATTCTTACAAAGCGGGATGGCCCGTGAAGTGGGTAGCCAGTCCTCAGCACAGCACCAGCAGGATCGGAGTACATACTGCCATGCAGGTGCCCTCAGTGCTTGATGGGGTGCCTGACAATGTTGCCGTCTTGCTTTCAATGGAACAGCAAACACAGCCATGCAGTGCAAATTGGTATGATGTTCAAATATGATGTTGCAAATTGGTATACAGAAAATGCGGGTAACACGTTTCCTACCAACCTATTCAGGAGCAATATGAACATACCTTACATGGCTTCGGCACTCATTCCAAGCATTGGATGGGATGTGCCTAATTTATGCATCCGACACAAGATTGACAAAGAGAAAGCAGACGTATCAGAACAGAAAGCAATGAGAAGGTCGCAGAGTTGGTGTAGTCAAGTCCCGTGCTGCCAATTTTTCTAAGAATGTTGAGCCCTGGTCAGAACTATCCCTGCAACTGGAGCACACAGCTGCCCATTGTGCAGTGCAGTGGAAGGTGCTGCATACCACAGATAACTGTGCAGTAGATGCCCAGGCAATATGCTCAATCACTGAAGTCAAATCCCTGTGGGTTGTGCCCATTGTGCGACGTTGCCATCTTTCTTTCTTTCACTCAATCCCGATTGTGGAGGGGTTTTGCCACTGCTGTATCTTGCCAGCTGGGTAGTGAAATAAGCCTTTACATTCACTGACCACCAGCAAAGGCAACAGTATCAGCACCATTTTGTGAACGTTCTTTGTGTCACATCCATATTTGCTCAAACTAGTGCATTTTTGTATATTGCACTACACGGATTGCCCAGTACTTTGTGCTGATATTCGGATGAAGTTTTCGAACAGTGGCAACCACCTGCTCTGTATTTACAAGACGTCGGCAGGCATCCACTTTGTGCCAGTGAATAACACAGGCAGGAAGTAGATGTCCACCACATTGAGAGCAGCCCTTGACCAAAATGCCTTTGAGGTCACCAGTTTTGGACCAAGAACAGCTGAACTGCCCGTTGTTGTTACCAAGGGGTAACACTGGTGCGTTTTTGTCACATTAATGTCAAACTTGTAAAGGAAGGGGGTGGCCGGGTGGCAGTAAGAATTGCATAGTTGTTACAAAATCGACATAACCCAAGAAGAGGACCAAATGATTCCTGATTGATCCAAAAGATTCCCAAGATGGTTCAACCTTCAGCTGGGATCCACACATAATCGACAACAAATTTGCACCCAGGCGTTTCCAGAGACCGTCCAATGGCTGATAACGTGCGGTCAACTTGCATGTGGCCTGGTATCAGTCTTCCACTTGGATCGGTTCTTCTGATTGTCTGGGAGTCCCATTGACGATCAGGTGCACAGCAGTGTTCCGTGTGTCCATACAAGCACACACCACAATCCTGCATCGATGTAAAGATTGACACCTGGAAGGCAGAAGGTCTGGGGATAATTCGAATCTGAAATTAAGCATGACAGAATGGCCGCAGTGTAACACCTATTGCTCGCCCGCATTTTCATCTACTATGCTGCCTTGTTGCAGCACCTGAATGCTTGTAAACTGCTCATAAGTTCTGTTGGATTGAGGACAAGACAAGTGCGCTAGGACCACACTCGTGCTGGCTTGCCTACACACTCATACACAGGCAACCATGCGCCCCAAAGAGTCGAACAGCACTCCACTACAATATCAACGACACCGTCACTTGCAGCGCCTCTATGAATATAGCAATACTGCTTTGCACCTGGAATGCAAAAACGCCAAGAGTTATCCACCATGTTGCATGCCTTCTTCTTTTCCATTGATTGTCGTGCGAATGAGTTGTCAATTGACCTGGGCCGAGCTGCTTGCAGGTGGGGCTCCAAAGATACTGGCGAGCAGGTCGTTAGAACAGAGGACGACCTGGAGCGCTCTCGGAAGGCGCTTATGCGGCAAACAGAGGGAATGTACGAGGACACGAGGGGCCTGACGTGGCTCGCAGGAGTCACTCTTGCAGTGTTGTGGATAGGGGGGATTATGAATCACGACAATGCACTTCAGCCTTGACGAATGGCGCTCTTTTTTGGGCTTGTGTATTGTGGTTTTACAGCTTGTGTGCCTCATGGGCACACGGGGGTGCCAGTGAATGATGTATGGCACGTGTGTAAGGCAGTAATCCCGCTTCATGGTGTGTGTCATGGCCAAATGGAGCTGCAGATTGTCATGGTGTGGTGTTGAAATGAGTTCGCACCAAAGGTGGCTTCTGTGAACTATGCTGGCCAGTAGGTAGCTTGCGTCATGGTCGCTGTGTTGGCGCTGCCACTAGCAATGGAACAATTTATGTTGCGAATGGCCATGCACACTAGGAGAAAAAAGGGCCAAATAACACGTGTTGAAACGTGTACAAAGTTTACGGTTTGGGTTATTTTTGTGTTCTTAGCATGCAGAACTTTGATTAAATGTGTTTTATGTGTGTTCGCAAGTGTTGTTTGGTCCTTTTCTTGCTAGTGGCAGTACGCCCCATAGCCCATAAGGAGCGCAAATGGTAGCTGCAGCTTTGGCCACAAAGCAAAGCTTTGCAACCCTGGCCGATCTTTCCATCCATACTCCTAGTACGACCCAGAGTCACACACATGCGGCGCTATTCTGGCAATATCGCTTTGAAGGTGCAGGGCTTGATCATCGTCTCTTGGGACAAATGCAGTCAAAAAATATGCCTGCTTCATCAGAGAAGATGACAACATGGGCAATATCATTGCGTTGTGTCCTGTTGGTGCTGGCTTCCCGTGCTGTGCTAATGTTGCAAACTGCAATCTCATAGTCAATGTATTAATGTGAACCTTAGCACAATCCTCAATCGCATCAATCATGCTAACACCCGATATTAAGCATTGATTAAGGCAACAAGTTTGGAGGCTAACTTGGGCCTTGATTGTGACAGCAACAGCAATGATGACTGTGGGGGCGAGGGAGCGGTAAATATATAAATATGTGATATATGGCGTTTTGTGATGGGAAGTAAATATGGTGAACATATTGATATGGTTAATGTACATGGGGACAATGGAGGCATGAAGTGAACGTTATTGCAGGGATTTTTACTTAACTGGTGCGCTCATCCTGTGATGCACCCAGTTATGGCTTTGCTTCCTGTGCCTGGGAGCAACCGCGTGCGAGCGTGTGCGAAAGGTTGGGTTTCCCTGATAATCATGATGATGATGATGCCCCTGATGAAAGCAAAGTTTTGGTCAGAGGTGCTCTGAGACAAAAAGAAGATTAACAAGAGGAGTTCCAAGAAGGCGCATAATGCTCAGACATACAAGAAATTGCGGCACACAACAAGGCAAAAGACATATTTTTGTGCTGCAACCTCCGGGAGGTTGGGACCCGATTTACCTTTGACTGTATTGCGATGCTCGAGCCTCCACATCGTGATGTTGTTGGGTTGCATGACAATCCACTCCTAACGTTACAATGTTGCCTCAGCTGACGCCGGTAGGTTGCACTACATACGTGACGGTTCTGGCTGAGTTAGAAGGGTGCCAAGAAATATAGTTGGGCATAGAAGGCGTCATGCCCACCTCGTAGTGGGCGTGTACTGACATCTTGCATGCACACCTTGAAGAGGAAGGTTGTTGAGATCAAGTAAAAGCAACACGCACAGACAAGCATATGTGCATATGACTCCTTGGCGACCATCGTTCCTGGAATGTGGCCCATGTTAACATGTACTCAATGATAGACTCAACAAATATATTGCCTTTTTAAGGAAACTGTAGCTGCGCCGAAATTTTCACGACTACCCAATAGGGAGGGGTGCCACTCTTCCCCCCTTGTTACCGCTTCCTCTCACATGCTTTTCGTTCCCAAAAATCAGCCCCACGCTAGCTTGCATTGGCCATGCCCTTGTCTCCAGCTTCTACACATAGGCTACCACCAGGGTCAACCACTATATCCTTTTGTCTGTGTTTTCGTATATTGAATCCGCATGTCCATTTCTGGTATGCACCCACTAAGGTTCCTCTTAATTGTACACCCGCATGCCTGATCCGTCTACCCACGAAATGCTCTTCACGTATTTTATCCCGCGCCTTGCTACTAGCACCACCTCTCGTGTCCTTGTACTTTATGATCCCATGTTCGTTCCCCACATGATTATGTATCCAACAGGAACTTCATGTTCAGCGACCTCTTTCCATCGTTCCGGGGTCTTTGCCCATTTTAAACGCTTTATAGTAAAGCATTGAATACACTTGCAGTCCAGCCCAGTACTATGGAACTAAAATAGAGATACGTGAGTGCTATCCCCATGTGTTACAAGTTGTGCCAACATGTAGTGCATTGCCATGCCTTTCGATATATGCTGTTTGTTTTGCAAATAGAAACTGGCTCTGTGTCATGAAGACATCTGCCATCCAAGGAGATAATGACCACGGGGTGTTGTAAAACGACAAGCAAGCATACCACTGTATGAATACTTTCCAGCACCGATGAATATCCCACAATGGTGTTTAAAACAATATTCACGAATGAGCAAGGAAAATAAGGTGCACGCCCATGTTAATCCTCTTTTGTTCAATTGTGTTTGCTTGTTGTCACAATTCTTGTTTCACAATATTTATGTAGCTACGTGATGACCATCATTTCTGTGTGTGGATCAGTTGTATTAGATGACAAGCGACTCCTCTGCTTTCGAAAACGTTTCATTTGTCATCGTATTTTCATTTTTCATCATGTTTTTCTGACAACATCAAAATTACAAGCAAATTGTTGTGCACTTCATTTTGAAATGCCTCTGGCAAGGTATCTTGTGTGCAAGATATCATGTGGGGATATTGTCGCTTTGTTTATTACACAACTTCATAGTGCATGATTTTCTTTTGGAGTAAAACGATTGCAAGTCGCTTGCAAGCGTCTTTAAAACTTGCAAGTGACCATATCAACGATCTGGATAATGAAGAACATTGAGCGTGAGTGGTGAATTGGAGTTGAAAGTCTGCTTTTACTTCCTTATACTCTTGCTTTATCATTGCACTCTAGCGGTGATAGAGGGTCTGTGTTCTGATAGCCCATACCCTAAACTGATTTCTGGGTTGAGGGATGTTTATTGTTTGTTTGGTGCTTGGCTATGCACTGAGCATGCGATTGAGTTGGTGGTTGTGAGCGAGGAAGAAACTCGGCGGCATTTCTGCCACCGTTGGCAAAAAGAATTGGCTAGGGTTGCTCTCCACGCTCGGGAGGCAGAGTGCGCAACAACCTGGTACAACCATGGGTACAATGCACACCACATAGCCAAATACACATCATAATAGCGGGCCCATTAACTGTCCATCAATATTATGATTTATTCCCTAAATGCGGAAGAAAGTTATGAGCAGCCCAAAGACCCACCTAAGATCAAACGACCCAGCAACTAACATGTTGGGTACCACGTGGCTAAAACATAGCATAAGTAACAAAAATTGTAAATAAACTTGGATCTGGGAAAGCATATACATAAGATCGTGATGCATATGGGATCTGCCTTGTGTGGCTCCATGCGGTGGCCATTGGACCAACGTTAAGTGTGATTGCAGTGTCAACGCTTCCAATGACCACATCCAAGGTAGCGGTTTCAACCATCACTCAATCGGTCAGCCTTCATATATGTACATATTGCTTCGGCATTTGCTATCATGTCTTGTGCTGCTGCAGAACGCCAATCTTGGCTACTGCTGCCAAACTATGGGATTGGACCCATTGAAATGCGCTGTCGTCATGGAGGCAGTCCTGATGATATTCAGACATGATGTCATGGGCATAAGAAAACCACAATTTCATTTAATGCAGAAGGGGAAATAATTTCAACGTCCATGGCGATGCATCGCATTTGATTTTCTTTCTTGCAACGGTGTGAAAAATGCAATTTCTTAAATAATAACAGATACAAATGAGCCCAGTTGGGTTTTGCGGTGCAGGCATTGTAACTATTGCTTCCCAAAGTTGGTGATGAAAGGGAGAAGAAAACAACGAACAGTGGTGCGTGAAGATGAACTGATGGGGCAGGGAGTTAAGGTGGATGTTGTATTGAAAGTATTGCAGCAGAGCCGCCAAGAAGAAGCAATTTGCAAAGTGGCATATGCACAATCGAGTTGATACGTGGATCTCATACGCATTCCTTGCGGCTACGCTACATTCTTTGTGCAGTGCCGTAGATGCGTGGCGTATTGTCATTCCACATTAAAAGCAACCCGATTCCTCATGATGATTTGCTGTTGAGTATTCCATTTCTAACAACCACCATGTGGCCAATTGATTTGGGCCATATTTCCATACACATCAGTAATGTGAGAAAATGTAGATAGGTTCTGCTCAGCGTAGAGTGATGCGATTGGGACTCAAACACTAGAACTTGGGACTGGATACTAGCCCAAAACGTCACGTGGCTACAATATGTCAGCCATACACAAAGTTGACATGGTATTTGTTTGTCATGATGCTGGCGAGGCATTTATATATCTGTAACAATATTCTAGCAATGTTGACAAATGCCCTTGCATGTGTGTGGAGTTCACACACTGCGGACTGAATTGGTGTTCATCACTCCGTGTATGTGCCAACTAAACTGCGTTGCTTGCCTTCGTCACAAGCAACGAGCATCATCAACTCATTGTCATGGCTCTTGCATATAATCAATCGACATCCAAATGTAAATAGGACTGTCATCTATTTGCACAATAACCCGATGAAGAAATCCATTACTGCAAGGAATTGCCTATACATCTAACAGCATGTTGATGGGCTTTGACAAGATGCCCATGTCACTTGGGTTATGCCCCAATGGAAGTATTGTTTGGTGTCACCATTAGTATTGGTGCCTCCATTGGGACTGCGTAGCACAGTAACAACAAGGTAGTGCACAGGAAAATAAGAAGGCTGAGTGAGCTCTAATTCCCACGTCCACCATTCCTCCCTTTTGCCTCTATGAGTTTCTTCAGAATCTGTGTTGCAAGGATTATCCGCAGAACACGTGATGTACAGCACATGTTATGTGATATACAACTAGGGAAAAATGTGATGGACTCATGCTGAGCAAGAGCTACGGATTGACACCCTTCTTTGTAGAGGGAAAATAGATGGAGCGGCCTCTGGGCCCAATGACAATTAGCACATGGAATATGTGTTTTGGCCATTCCGGTGCCTGTCCCAACGCACTGCTTCTCCTAGGGGTGGATTCTGGCAAGCTCGATGCCAGTGTCCAATCATTTAGCTTCCCTGCAGCATTCATTTCAACACATAAACCCCAACCACACGCCCCTCCCAAGCTATCTTGGACGACATATGGCAACAAATCCTCATTGTTTCCATGCATCAACGGCCATCCAAGGGAAGGTGTGTGCCTAGTATGCCCTACCACCTTGGCCAATGTCCATTTTGTTGCAGTTCACCTCGTCTGTGTGGGCTTATTGTCCTGTTGTGTTGTTGCCAAAAAAACCAAGGAACAAGCCACAACCTTTCTGGCATTTCTGGCCTATCTTGCGCTTTGGTTTCAAAACATTATTTTGGGAATACTCTCTAATCTTTGGATCTCAAGAATGTAGGAACAAACCAATTCCCCACGTGTTCTGTCAAAGATTATCGATGCAGGCTCATCAGCATTTGAGACAAGCAAATGCAGTGTGAGCCCTGGTAGACAGCCCGTTAAACAAACATTGTCTTATGTTCTGACTCTTGTTGAGACACATATTAATGTGTCACTATTCACGTTGAATGCAGTGGAAACATGCATTCTTCCCCTTTGTTAGGCTCGTTTCATTCAATTGAACACAGGCCAAAGGGTCGACTCACAACTTGCCCTAAACTTGCTTGCTGTATGCTTGCTTTTTGTGTTTTTGTGTTCAACAAAAGTAAGAAATGAACAAGTCTCCAACCAGCCACATACCGCTCATGCCGGAGGGCAACGGCTACGAGGTGATGGTGCTACACTCAGGATCCCTCCTTAGCCAGAATTCCAGAAGCTCCAACTCTTCCATGCTTATCCGCTTCCGTTGGGTGTATCCGAGTCCTTGTTCCTATTGGATGTGCTGGGGTGCAGTGGGCGCGGCGACCCTGGCCGGAAATATTCACTGGACTGCTGGGGCAGCACAAACGGGGTGAGAAGGGGGTTAGTAGCTAATGCCCCATACAGGGAATACCAATACTCATGCAGTCCTATCCTTACTCAAGCAACTGCAAGTTATTGGCAAACACTCCAACCTGCGATTGCACAACTGATGCGATTGCACAGTGTGCTAGGGTACATTGACCATGCGATCACATGTTGCAACACAAGTACTGCGCAGTGATTTGGAAGCACCCTCGCTGCTCGTTACACGTTATCCTCATGCCAATGAAATGCAAGCTAAGCTCTAGAACTACTAACCAAGCAATTGTGTATGTCTCGAGAATCTTGTGCCTTTTGGCCATTTCTTACCTACAAATAGACTGGCGTTGCCATCATCGCAGCCCAGGGACACTGGGAAACTGGAAAAAATGGCACCCCGACTGGTGCAAGTCAGGTACAAAACGGCACAGCCATGAAAAAATTGGCCAGCGGTGGCCACTACATCAATTGAACCCTCTCAAATTGAAGCTGCAGATGAAATGGAATCCATAGGGCCCCACTCTGCCACCGATCTGCAATTCTAAAACAACTCTTTCTCCTTTTTGAGCCACAGTTGCTTCCATTGTGGGTATTGCTGGTATTCCGAATAACTGCACCAGAAGACCTTCTTGAATTCTTCCTCTGTCAGGTACTCTTCTCGTCGTGTGGGATCCACGTTGCTAGGCCACCTGACACCCGCACGCAGATTATCATACCTGTGTGCAACTTCACCTGCAAGAGAGATTGCCATCGTCGCTGGATAATGAACGAAGGACAAATCACCAACAACAGCACCAGGATCGCCATAGACTTGCGTGGATGATACTGGGATGCAATGCTGACAATCAGTGCTACACAATTCGCCTGTGAATTCATATCAGGCATCGTTGAATACATTCTGCCCAGCCTTGATGTCTTGCAAGTTACAGATCTTAGGCAACTTCGCCTCGTGGGATAAAGCATTGTGCATTGCCAGTATCAACCATTGCCATAGAGGACTTCCTTGATCTTTGCACCAACATTCAAGTAAATAAGCTTCATTGACTGGCAGAGTTGGCACATTGCTGGGTTTAAAAATTCATCTCAATATACTGAAAGCAACAGTGTGCAAATCCATTTTGCATGCCCTAATCAATCCAACTGAATGCAAAGAACCATAAGACACAGCAGTCTAACGCACCAGATACAGATGGACCCAGATTCTCCTCTTTCGGTTCCTCGCCCAATGCTTCCCTCTCCACGACCTTCCCCTCAATCCTGACCTTCCTGATGGTCTCCGCTCGTTCCTTGGCGGCTTCTTCCAATCGGGCAGTCACTTCCTCAGGCAGGATGCGCCTCAGCGCCTCATCGCCCATTATCTGCCGCACACTCTCAAATGTGTTTGTCACAAACTGCATGCACTTGTTCTTCAGCTCGGGGCCTTGGGCAAACATGCCCCCTGTCTGCAGACACAGCAGTGCAATATTCAGCCCAGCAGTTCATATCAGGCGCCCATCATCGAAGAAAACAATTTTCTTTCTTCCCTTCCAACTGTTCTCCCCACGTGTCTAGCTATTTTGATCATTTTGTTATGCAACTCGATAGATATGTTCCTTCAGCACGCTTACTTCCTGCCTTGCTCTGTCCATAGCTTCTCATAGTGGAGTATTGTGCAATATATCAGGCAGAATGCGCAATCTTTTTTCTGTTCTGGACAGCATCAACGTATTGGTCTGCCTATCCAAAAGTCACACAGTACTCTTGGTTAGACCTGTGATGGACAAAATCTTCAGTGCATAAGAAGAGAAAAGGTGGCATGGAATACGCCATCACCCTTGCTTTTTCCCGCATGAACGCCATGGCGTATTCACAGCACACAAGGCAATCAATCCAAGCATTTCCAGCAGACGATCGTGGTGGAACTGGCCATGGTGCGAGTGCCTCTGCGGGTCCTGCGGCGGCCGTGAAGGGCCTCATCAACCTTGCTCTTGCAGACGAGCTGGACAGTCGCCGGAGGACGCTTCTCTATTGGCACTCCGGTGTAACAGGCCTAAACGAGACGGATCCAGGGCAGGCCGAGTCTTTGGGGCTGCCCTCGCAACGCATACCCGATTCCCTGCCACCCCTTTCGCGGCTCATGTCAAGGTATGAATAGGACCTGCCCCATATGATGGCAACGCTTCCGAGTGGGTGGGAAGTTGATGCGGGTGCAGCTTATAAGCCCATCGCTGTTCGGCTGCTGTCCTGCACGAAACTCGCCGTGGATTCCTTTCTACGCTACGTACCAGTCCTTCACGACAGCGCTTTCCCGGCGCGGCTCGAGACTGGACCCTCACCTCCGGACGCCAAAATTCACCGCGGTGACATCGCTGTGTCCTCTGGCGCATTTTCTCCCCTATTATGACTCAGCGCAGTGCCCCCCGCGGTCCATCCGCGCAACAATCCGCGACGGCCAACCCACGAAGCCGGTCACAGCGCGTCCAGCGCAAAACGCGAAGCGCAACACTCTCACCATTTGGCAGAATTCCAGCAGCTCCAGGACGGAGCGCGCGTTCAAGCAGCGGTTCACGGTCTTCATGCAGCATTCCTGGAGGCTGGGCACGGACGTCGCCTCCCTGGACAAGCCGCTCGCGCCCTCCTCTGCGGTGGCGCCATCGGGAATGTCCTCACTCGACGGCGTCATGGCCGACGTCGCGACCTGATCGCTTGACGCCTGCCGATGGCAGCGGCCGCAGAAGACGCGTCCAAGTCGACGGGTGCGGACGTCCCTGGACGGCTAGGGGGAGGGATGCGGGTGGGGGGGGGGGGCGGGCAGAGACGTTCACAGGCGACACTTCGGCCCATTCGTTCTCCGCAAATTTTTCTGTGAAATTTGGAATTTGGACTCTCTTGAGAAGGAAATGGCCGTTGATGCGAATCAAACGGCTCCCCTTGGAGTGCACACAAGAAGCGCGAATCCACGATCGCCGATGCTTCAACGGGTTGGCACACGGCCAGACGCAAGGCCACACCACACACGAACCACCCGGGGCTTACATATTTGTTCACCCTTCCTACGGCGAAGAGCCTTGCCGACGGTGGCAACGACCCCCACAGCCGAACAGTCCGATTTTTTCGCACCCACAGAACTTTCCCTTTCATGTGACAAGGACCATCATCCATCACCAACCAGCCATACGGCGCTTCAGAGATGCCCACTCGTCGCCACAATACAACCCACTCTATAACACATACACTAAAGATGCCCATACACTCAATGGCAATGTAGAAATATTTCAGCTGCAAGCGCGACCCTAACCATAGCATTTATCTCTGAATCAGATGGCATCTCCCACAACAATCAAATTGATGCTCACAAAAGTCCCATCACAGGAGAAATAATTCTGTGAATTCTAAAACACATTTTTCATTTCATTGTATAAATTCAGAATGCCTTGCATACAAACAATATTCTTGAAGTGCATACAAGTCGCACACCATAATGCATAAGTGATTCACCCAGTGAAACGGTGGCGGTGGTCACAATGCGGTGTTGCGAACAACTCCTGAATCGTCAATGCGATGTAAGTGCCCCACCTCAGTGCCTTGTTGCGCCCGCAACCCATCCAATGGAAAGCCACGTGCACGTTGGCCGCCAATGTGCGGGTCCAATGCATTGAGGCTGGTTGCGTGCTTTGTTTGTCATTCACACAACTCTTTGTGTTCACGCGCTGCTCATGCTTTACTGAAGGATCCGTGAGTGAGATATTTTATTAAGACATTGTAATCCGGACTGCGGTTGTACTGATATATCATCTGCTACAGAATCGAAATGAGTGCCACAATGTTTGCCAAGGTGGGTTTGCCCATTCCGTGTCATGATTTTGTTGCCATAAATAGCAGTCTATGGATTGTTGTGGGAAACCTGAAACGAGCTTAAGAAAAAATAGAATACCAGCCAAATACATTCGCAACACTGCAAGCACAGCCTTGTAAATATGCCATCAGGCTATATGCACACGGAATGCCACCGCCTCATGGACAGGATGAGCAGATCTGATTCTGTTGGGCCCCTGTTCAACTCAAGTTTGCGTTTTGTATCCATGCAGCTTAAGAATTGTGCGGCACGCGTCCAGAAATACTATGTACAAACACCAAATTTTGAGATTGTGGCGAGCCAGCCATATTGCTGCATCGTGCGCGCATTGTGCAATAGTATGCCTATTATTGTTAAATGATCGGGTACCGTCATATAACAGCCCAGGCCTGTTACATACGGTGTAAGTACCTGTAGATTCACACGTATTTACGCAGAGAAATTGTATTTTTGTAGCGTATTTTTTATTATGAATAAATACACATAAAAATGAGCCTTGTGCATATAAAGATAGTTCATAAAGACTGAGGGAGTCCGGGGAGTGGCAGCTGGAAGCGCTGGAGTGGGTAGGAAACGAACTTTCGTTCGACGACATCGTTGCCCATGCCAAAGACGAGGTGGACGTTGTGTTCCGGGTGCTCGAAGGGGCGGGAGACTGATCATCGCTGGGACATCATAACATAATTTGGGTGTGCCGCTGAGCCATAAAATGCGTAAATAGAGCTGTTTTATTGGCCGTTTCCCTATTTAGCATTTTGCGCATAGATTAGAAAACGTAAGCATGGTGCCATAAACGTTAATAACAGCCCTGACACAGCCCTCACAGCATCTGTAATTGCCATCTCACTGCACCTGTCGACTCCTTGAGTTCACGCACCTTGACCAGCAAGCGACCTACGATTTCTGTGTGATAATTTATTCGCAGGTCCGTGGCTTGCGAAATTGATGGATTGCATCTGATCCAGGCGAACACACTGCGGGCGGGAGCAGGGGTGGGACGCAACAAGCAGACATACGGGGCCGCTATCAATCGAAGGCGGTTGTGGCAGTGGGGGCCTTCCATCGATGTTGCCATATTTGTGCACCTGGATACTGCGATGCGACATTCAAGGTCTGGGACTGAGCGGGAGTGAGCCCACTGCCGCGGGTGAGGCCGAAATTCGTCCTGATGCCCTTGCATAAAATGTGTGCAGCCGTTGAGGTAGGTGGATACAACAGTGGGCAAGAAAGGAGACGGTGTTTCGCGCATCAGAAAATCAGTGCTTATTTGCGCAACATCGCAATCAGCGCAGCTTATTGCCATCCCTGGTGGCGTGTGGCATGCCGCGGCGTCCTGGGGAACTGCACATCGAGGACATGTTCGCCATCATATTGGTGCAAAACGCGATTGTGCGCATTTGCCATGCCGCAAAAATCATCGGTTTGTTAGCTTCTGCGCAGAAGCTGACCAAGCGATGGTCTTTGTAAATCAAGCAATATGGATCTCATCAAAATGTATGATGTGCTGTGGGTTTGCGTCTCTTGAAGGTTCCTCAAGAAAAACAAGACCGCCATCGCGCTGATCTGTGCAGTTCTGTGTGCGCCGTTGGTGTGCCAATAAGTGCCCGCAAATCTTTCAGAGGAATTGGCAACTTGGCGTCTGCAGGCGTTCCTTTGAGACTACCAAATGTCGATAGGATTCCAGTATAGAGTTCGTATCAATTTCGAAGCACCGCAATATGGGGCGACGTGTAAACTGTACGGTTACAACTAGGCGTGCATTGTGCTGCAGATCTGCGTCAGAATATATCTTTCATCAATGCCAGGACCTTGACCTTTGGCTAGGATCATCAGGTCTGAAAGCAAATATCTTTCTTGAAGAAACCTATTCAGCACGTCATTTGATATTAGATAGAATTATAATTCTGGTGTCCAAGATCATCTTTCAAATTTCTGTTTATGCTATGCTTCAGTCATTTTAACAAATAGTTAACAAGTATTTCAACATTTCTGTGCGATGTGAACCATAAAATGAAAATGGCGCACATTGCTGCAAATTACCAATCTATAATGCATACTGGTGAAATGAAATTGGGGCTTAACATGTGCAATCGCTGCCACAGTACGACATGTAGCTAAACCATTTATAACGCTGGTAGCGTTATCTGAGCGGTGGCTGAAGCATCAGATACACACAGGCTTTGCATCCCCGCTGATCAACGGCAACTGTTGTATAACGGTGTTGAAGGAGCGGACGCTGTGCTCCGCCAAGATGCGGAGACATCAAACTTCGAGTTTGGGCACAACAAAATGTCGAGAGGCGGTGGAAAGACGGACTCCAGATCCTATATCTATCCCAAGACCGTGTTTGGAAATTCCCAAAAATATTTCTGGACACCAGTTGCGGAGATGGATGGCGAGTCGGCATGATTTGTGGGGGCCCTTGAATCCCACAAGAACAGGGTACTAGGTTACAGGGCACAGGCTATGCAGGAAGCAAGCCTGTCCATTGTGCCTCTGTACCGCATACAGCACGTTTTGGACGCGTACAACAACCCACACGTGGCTGTGGCACTCGCTAATCTGAGGGACAACTTGAAAAGCACCCGCCAGTATATTGACTTCGGGGGAGCGAACCACGTGTTTGTATACCTCAAGAGCTTTTCTAAATACGCCGTGCGGCAAAATGGTGGACAATCTGTATGTGGATTTGTATTACTTTTGGGCAGGTCCAGAAGTTCTAAAGTCGTGGAACGGTTGGAGATGCCCACACAGGTGAGCGGATCAATGCACCCATATCTGTACCTGAGAAGCGCACACTCCGTGCATTACACGCAGAGCTCATATGATTTTCAATGAGCGTTGTCTGTGTTAACTTTGGTGGTTGTTTCTTTCGCACTATTTGCTTTACCTAGCACGAACATCTTTCGACAGGGATGTAATGTGGTTCCATAATGCGTATGTTTATTCTTAGGTTTCTGTAACTATACATTTGGTACAGCTCACAATTGATGGATTATCACTGCATGCAGTGATGTAAGGTAATGCGTTAGGATCAGCAATCGTGAAAATTTTAGTGGAAATTTCTTCAAATATATCTGAAGTACGTCAAGCTTGTTTTCCTGCAACATTTGTCAACACATTGGTGCTGAGTGCCCAGAAAGAGTTCGATTGGTATCCGGCTTCAGCCGTTTGGCACCTATTTAGAAGTTTCGAAATGGCAGTTTTTCCACAGCCATGTTGCGAGCCCAACAGTTTGGAATAAATCTCCAAGAACAGCGTGGCAAAAATTTTGAATCGCTTTGAGGCGAATAGATTACAGCCAGTTCGATCTGAAGTTTGCTGATCCAAGTGAATTTCATTCAGAATGCGTATTTCGCAGCGCTTAGACCAACGTTACTTCGGGGAGACGAAAAATTTACAGAGACAGGCAAGCTAACATAGCAGAATAATGCTCGGCAAATACCACACATCACAGGCAGCGCATTGGCTTTGCGAGCATTTGGCATGTTGGCGCCATGCATGAAACGCCGCTTCAGGGAAGAAATGTTCAACGAAGTGCTATGAATTACTGAGCCTTTTGCCATACATTCCGGCAGCAGTGTTGTGAGTTAACCTCGTCTCTCTGTCCACATGTCATGCCACCGCAATATTGACAGGTCTTCTTCGCATTTGTTTCTCCCATTTACTTCTGAATATGTGCTCCGTGCAGACACCTTCAAATCTCGTTAAAAATGGATTTGGGCTGTGAAACCGCCGACAAACTAATCTCACAGGGGTCGTCTGAAAAGCGTGCAGAAGCGCAGCAGACGCTCGCCGATCAGTCGCTTGGGCGCCATCAAGGGTGG